CGACCGACTTTGGTCGGTTTTTTCAGCAATTTCCTTTGTTCTGAATTTAATTGACCGACCAAAGTTGGTCGGTATCCTTTCCGACCTTCAAAATACCGACCACATGTTAATGGTAGCATTTTGGACGGTTATTGGCCATTACCGACCTACTTTGGTCTGTTTCTTTTTTTACGATTTTTGCCGAATTTCTAGTAATGCTGTCAACCTCTATATGCTTGGTCCTTTCAAGATATACTGGGTCGGCTGTTATTTGTAGAGTTGTATTGCTGTCACAATGTAGGTCCAATGGCACTTCTACTTCTGCTCCCAACTCTTTGAAGATCCCTATTAGCCATACCAGCTCAGTTATTGTCCATGCCATGCTCCTATACTCTACATCTGCCGAGCTCCTTGATACTGTGTTTTGTTTCTTTGACTTCCATGATATAAGTGAATCTCCATGTTTGATAATGAAGCATGTGACTGACTTTCTTATGTTTGGGCATGATGCCCAATCTGCATCACGATATGCAGTCAAACTATTGGTCTTTATGCTACTCATCAATATTCCTAAGTCTGGTTCCTTCTTTATGTACCTTACAACCCTGAGTGTTGCTTCCCAATAGCTCCTCTTAGGTTGTTGCATGAACTGACTTAGTGTTTGGACTGTAAAAGCAATATCCAATCTGGTCAGTGTCAAGTAAAGCAGTCTCCCTTTCAATTTTTGATATTTCCCTGTGTCTTCCAGTAATTCATCATCTATGTGTCCTGTGAGTTCATCCATTTCTTTTACTGTAAGCTTCTGATTGTATTCTAATGGTGTCCAGGCTAGTTTGGAGGCACCCAATCTCATGTCTGTGATAAGCTCCAATGCATACTTTCTTTGGTTCATTCCTGATTTACTGAACTCTATCCCTAGAAAGTACTTCAATTCTCCAAGATCCTTCATTTTGAAGGATTGTTGTAGCTTGTGCTTAGTTGCTTGTATTAGTGACAGGTTGTTCCCAGTAATTAACATGCCATCCACATAGACTAGGATAACCACTAAATCTTTTCCTTGCCTTTTTGTGAATAGAAAGTAATCCAAGCTGCTATGTGTGAAGCCTTGAGCAATTAAGGCTTCAGTCAACTTGACATTCCATTGTCGACTAGCTTGTTTCAACCCATATAGGGATTTGACAAGCCTGCAAACTATTCCATGCTCCTCTTGGCTTGAAAAACCCTCTAGTGGTACCATGTAAACTTTATCATGAAGATCACTTTGTAAAAAGGCATTATACACATCCATTTGGTATATATGACAATATTTTGTTGCAGCAATGGACACCATTGATCTCACAGTCACTATCTTGACTACAGGGGAAAATGTATCGTGGTAGTCAAGACCCTCTTGTTGATTGTATCTCTTGGCTGCTAAGTGTGCCTTGAACCTTTCAATGTCACCATTAGCATTGTACTTGACCTTGAACACACACTTGCAACCAATTGCATGTTTTCTTGGTGGCAGATGGACCAACTCCAGAGTGTTGTTATCTTCCAAGGCCTGTATCTCATCCTTCATGGCTGCAATCCATCTGGGATCTGTAGAAGCCTCTTGATAACTCCTTGGTTCAACCACAGAAGTAAAGGTTGCTTGTAATGAGGACTAAGGTTAGTATAATTTAAGTAATGATAAATAGAATGTGGAAGGGAAGATGTACTATTAGCAAAGACATTGGTGATATAATAAGTCATCCAAGCAGGATTCCTCTTAAATGCTGCTCAGATGGTGCAGAAGCAAGATCTCCTGATGATGACTTCTCAGCTGGAAAATCAGCTTCAGTAGCACCTTATTCAGTTGTTTTAGAGTGTGGAAGAACTTCAGCTGCAACTAGATCAAGTGCTTCAAATTATGGAAGAGCTTATTCAGTATTAGGTAGAGGATCTCCATCCTGTGTTGAAATATCTCTAGGTAGCATGTGGTTGTCCTGAGGGGTGTCGAAGATGGTAGAATGGTCTTCTTCAGAGGTCTGGAACAAGGGTTGTGGTCCAGCTCCCTTGTGCTTGAATGGAAACACTCCTTCCCTAAAAGTAACATCCCTATTAATGAAGAAAACATGATTGGTTAAGTCATATAAAATGTAGCCTTTGGTTACTGCAGAGTAGCCCATAAGGACAGCTGGGATAGCTCTGTGAGCAAATTTGCCATGATTGTTCAGCCTTCTTGCAAATCATAGACAACTAATCACTCTCAAATGTGTTAGACTGGGTTTCTGTTTGTGGAAGACTTCATAAGGAGATTTGCCATTCAAAGCTACTGATGGCATCCTGTTTATCAAGTAAATAGAAGTTAGAACACATTGCCCCCAAAACTTCATAGGAATTCCTCCTTGAAACTTAACAGCCCTTGCAATCTCCAAAATGTGCATGTGTATTCTTCCAGCTATGCCATTCTGTTTTGGAGTGTATACATAAGTTTTCTGATGTATAATCCCTATAGATTGGAACAATTGATGACATTCAAAGTTAATAAAATTTCCACTATTGTCTGATCTAATACTCTTTATGGTCTTGATTCTACACCATTATAAAGAAACTTTTAAGTACTATAATTACATCACTCTTGAGTTTTAACAGAAACACCCAGGTCATACGAAAACGGTCATCCACAGTTATCAAGAACGATTTATTTCCACCAACAGTAGGTACATGATAAGGACCCCATACATCAATGTGCAACAATTGAAAAAATTTTGCAGTTCTACTATCAATGTGCTTAAAGGGCAATCTAGTGTGCCTTGCTAAAGGACGCACAGTACAATTTCAACTGCTACTTTACAATCTTCGTGAGATAATCCCAGAAGTTGTTTTATTGTTCCTAATGATGTATGCCCTAACCTCTTATGCCATAGTCCTACATCCATTTTCCCTTGTGTTGCAGTTAACTCCTTTACTGAAATGTCTTTCCTTCTTCCAAGATTATGAGAAAGCCTATAGAGTCACTCCCTCTCTCTACCAATCACCTTCACCTTTCCACTATAAAGGTCCTGGAATAGAAAGAAGTGGGGGGAAAAGGTGGCTGAGCAACATAGGTCTCTTGTGATCTTAGACACAGACAGAAGGTTATACTTAAAATTTGGAATGCATAAGACATTGCTCAAAGTTCCAGTATTTCCCATAGTGTAAGAACCAACATGACTTACTGTAGTAGTGGTACCATTAGGCAAATGTACCCTTCTAGCATTACAATTGTTGATTTTTGCTTTATCATGTAGTAAACTCTTATTAGAGGTCATTTGGTTTGTAGCTCATGTGTCCACTATCCAGTCCTTCTTCAATTCTACTAAGAAAGCTTTAATTTTACCTGCCATATTTGCAGAGGAGGTGTCTCATGTATTCTCTGAACCTTCTTTGCTCAGCGGCTTCAATATTTGACTGTATTGTTCAGGTGTGAAGTAAGAACCTCTCAAAGTATCAGCATTCATGATTTTGTCCCCCATTTGTATTTTGCTTCCACTTGCCTCTGGTTTTGCATTCTCTTTCAAAAAGGCATTGTGAGCAGTATTGAAACTACCTTCTTTCTGAACTTGAAGTCCTATGGATATCCAATTAGTTTATAACATCCTTCACGAGTATGACCCTTCAATTTGCAGTAGTCACAGTAAAGAATGTAATTTCTCCTCTGTCTCTGCTGATTCCCAGCCTTAGCAGTCATCAAGGCAGTTACATCCACCCCTTCGACTCCAAGAAATGTATTGATTATGCTTCTCTAACTCTCACGCTTAGTCAGCATGGAGTATGCCTTGTTTAAGGTTGGAACTGGAACCATCATGAGTATCTCGCTTCGCGGCTACTCATAGGATTCATTGATACCCATAAGAAATTGTAATAGCTTCAATCACTCCATGAATTGGACAAATTCTCGTGATTTTGCACAATCACATCCAGGAATTGGGGCTAAACACTCAAACTCTACCCAAAGTAGCTTCAACTTCGAAAAACAAGTTGAAATCGAGCTTGTACCTTGACTAATTATTGTAATTTGCTTGTGAATCTGGAAGATTCTAGAACAACTGACCTTGTTGAATCGCTCTTTCAGTTCTCCCCAAACAACGCTTGCATTTGAGGAATAGATAATGCCACAAAGTAATTCTGGCGAAACACAGTTCATAATCCACGATAACACTATGGCGTTGCAACGCTCCCACAGATCTACTAAGTTTGGACCAAATCCTCTTTTTTGCATGTGCCTTCGATGAACCCTAGTTTATTGTGACATATGATTGCGATTCTCATCGCACGGCTCCATATGGAGTAATTCTCCGGTCCTTGTAGCTGCAGTGAGACTAGCACAGCTCCGGAGTTATCATTTGAGGTCAAAAATAAGGGATGATTGTGACTAAGTTTTTCTGGTAATTCATCGTCAATCGTAAATCTTAATCGAGAATGTTGCTCTGCTCATGTGAGATACGCTAATTCCCAGTGGGTTCTGATATCATATTAAACTGAGCTATCTGTTGTGCAATCTGTAACAATGGAGGTCTAGAGAGGAATCATAGGGAGAGACGACAGAGAGAATGAAATGCAAAATGGCTTCGTTAGTCACATAACCATTTGTAAGCACATACATATATACAATCTATTTATCTGTTACTCCACTAACTAACTGTCAGCTAATGTCCAGCTAAGCACTCACTAACCGACTCATTCTAACAATAATTAACTAACTACTCAACTATGGTGTAGTCTACTGTAATTAACTCCCTAACTCAGGTTACTCCAGTTTCATCATTAATTAAGAGCGGAGGAAACTCGACCGTCCGACATTGCATTTTCCATTGTTCCTATAAAAACGTACAACTCCAAGACGGATAACGTCATAACGAAATGAAGATAATATACATAGAGAGTGACATCGTATTTATGGCACAACAATATTAGTACCTACTAAGCTGGAAGGACCGCGAAACTAGGCATTACTAATTTGAGAAAGGACAGCAGGGATATCTACTGATGATGTGCCAAGATTTAGCCACCACAAAACAATAAATTGTTCTCTTTCCTAAAATTCAGTAAGAATTGAATAAAAATTCAAGTCGCCATTTACGACTTAAATAAGCAAATGGGAAATGGCTATTTAAATCAAAATACAAAGAACCCTTATTTTTGCACCATCTTATTCTTGGTTCGTTTTCAACAAATATTCTTTTTCTTTTGATTTTTCTCTACTCTATAAGATGGGGGATACTTCAGTAGTAGTGCAATCACAAGTACAAGGTGAGCTTCTTTTCTCGGGATCATTTTTCTAATTATCAAATATTTTCTTTGGTCATCTGTATAATATATCAACTTATTAGCCGCATATAGATTAGGGAAAGTAAAGATTTCATGGCAGTCCAAAAGCTAAAGAATAAACTTACCAAAAAAGTGCTAATTACTATCACACGCTTAGCTCTTATTTCCTAATGTTTTAGCCGTGTATCTTCTAGTAGCAAATAGATTTACTGTAGTTTTATACTGTAGCTAGCAAAAGTCATCTAACTAACACAATCTTTGAATCTGTGTGCTGTTTCTAATCCTCTTACAACTGTATTTGGTTTCTTTCATGAAGGGTTAACTAATTTCACTTATAGCCACTATTTTTATCCACTGTAATCATTAAGTTATTAAACTATTATTTTTATAGCAGGTAAAGTCCAATTACTTTTCGTTATAGTAAGTAAAGTTCAGTTAGTAACTGAAATATAGGTAAAGTTCATTTGCTGACTTTTTCATAGTGTTATAGTGTGTAAAATTCATATGTATTTATAGAGAAAATCACACATATGTAGTTGAGTTACTTCAATGATATAAAGATTATTTAGCGGCTTTATTGTTATAATAGACAAAGTTCAATGACAATCATATGCACGAAACGACCAAAAATTGTTACTCGTTTTCATCTTCCTAGTCATTTATTAATTTGCAGAACATTTTTATGGCATTTGTTGCAGCAGATGACGAAGCAAAAATTGAAGAGAGCTCACAGAATGGAACTGATCAGTCAAAAGCTCCAAGCTTCGTACAGTACAAATGGTGGATCCAAATGGTTATTTACTCAACATTTGTTCTCTCTGGCCAAGCCATAGGTACACTCTTTGGTCGATTATATTTTGACAAAGGGGGAAATAGCAAATGGTTAGCTACATTAGTACAAAATATAGGCTTCCCAATTCTCATCCCTTTCCTCTTAATCACATCAACTAAAACTAATCATGAAGTGATCACTGAAATACAGAAACCATCTTTTTATATCGTTGCTTCACTTTATACTTTGCTTGGGTTGTTCCTAGCTGGAAATTGTATGTTATACACAATAGGTTTACAATACCTCCCTGTCACAACTTATTCACTTATTTGTGCTAGTCAATTGGGATTCAATGCTCTTTTTTCCTTCTTCCTAAATAAACAAAAAATCACCCCTTATATTGTCAACTCATTAGTAATTCTTACTATTTCCTCTTCTCTCCTCGTCCTCCAAAACGACAATTCTGAAGATCAGTCCAATAAAAAGTCTAGAAAAAAATACATAATTGGATTTTTATCCACAGTTGCTGCATCTGCTGGTTATGCATTGATGCTCTCTATTACACAGCTTGCTCTTCAGAAAATCTTTAAGAGGGAAAGTTTTCGTTTGATTCTAGAGATGTCAATTTACCAGTCATTAGTTGCGACATTGGCAATTTTAGTTGGATTTTTCGCGAGTGGTGAGTGGAAAACTATGGACAAAGAAATGGATGAGTATAAATTAGGGAAAGTTAGATATGTTTTGAATTTAATTGGGACAGCTATTTCTTGGCAAGTTTTCTCAGTTGGTTCTATAGGGCTGATTTTCAAAGTGTCCTCACTATTCTCAAATGTGATTAGCATTTTAGGTTTGCCTATTGCTCCTGTTTTGGCTGTGATCTTTCTTCACGATAAGTTAACTGGTGTTAAAGTGATGTCAATGTTGTTGGCTATATGGGGTTTTGTATCATATATTTATCAGCATTATCTTGATGATTTAAAGGACAAGGCTGCAAAAAATGTTCAAGTTGTGGAGCTTTCTGAAAGTCTCTCATTGAAAGAGGTTAAACATGTAATTTAATTAAATATGATATTTCGGGTAGTTTATTAAGATCGTATATAACTTTTCCATATCTCAAGTTGTATTATATGCATTGTATCAGTTTGAAATTTTTGCATGGATTTTCGAATGAAAATAACGCACGGAAAAGTTGAGGTAGATTAGATATCTATCGCATTAGGTCATTTTGTTTATTCATTTGTGGCTCTTAGCAGTAATCGGCATTTTGAATGGTTATTTTTGGAAAAATGGGCAAATATATTTTACACGTCAAACAATAAATACTCTTAGATAATAATATTTAATTTTAAAAAAGCTTTCATTTTTATAATGGCTCCAATATAACTACAATTACGTATCGTAATGATTTGTATATTCTTTTGCCTGCGAGGTTGTCCTCCTAGCTCGTTACATATAACATTTTGATTGAATGGTCCAATCGGGATGGAGCTAGCCTTTTGCTTACGGGTTCGTTCGAACTTAGTAGTTTTTGTGCAAAATTTATATTTATCTTGTGAAATTTATGAAATATGTATAAATTATTATTTTAGAACCCATTAATTTAAAAGAACTAGAATCTCGAACCCATAAACTTCAAATTTTGGCTCCGCATCTGGTCCAATCATTTGCTAAAAATAGAAATATCGATGGAAACACATCAAAAGAAAATGAGGACAAAAGAGTCGAAGTATTCGGAGGACTATATGTCATAATTTTGATAGTCCATTAAGTTAGAAATTTGACAAGAGTGGGTTGCTCTAGTGGGGAACACTCTCTACTTCCAACCAAGAGGTTGTGAGTTTGAGTCACCCCAAGAGCAAGGTGTGGAGTTTTTGGGGGAGTTTTAAAAAAAAATTAACATTAGGAAAATACTTTTGTCTCTCACTAAGACCTTATCCACTTGATGAATACATATTGTACCTTATCAGGTGTAGTCAAGAAGGCATTTGATGTTAAATAATTACGGAAAGTATTTTGTGTAAATTAAAAAAAATTGTCATATTGTTAATGATAGATATAATAATATAGACATTACTAACATGTAGCGGACTTACTTTTTTTAAATTACGTAATATTATTTGAAATATGTTTGATCACGCACTTACTCGATCTCATATCCCGCCCATAGTAATTTTTTGAATTATAATCAAGATTATTTATCCCTTTTCTATATGGAATAGATAATTCCATGATTGTAATATAAAAATAATCTTGATCTTAATTAAAATACAACCAAACACATAATAGATTAATCTGAAATTTGTATTGGAATAACCCATTTAATTCCTCTAACCAAATGGCCCCTTAGATATTTTGAGTTGTTCATACTTCTGTTGAGTCCTTGGTTATTTTTTAGGATAAAATACACAGCTGATCACTTTTTAAAAAATATTTAAGAAAATAATACTACTCTTTGTTAAAAAATATTCCATAAATGGCAAATTATTTTACATTAATGGCAGATAAAGATTATGCACATAATTAATGAGAGCCAAAATGCACAAATTATGGGGTATTTGTCTTTTTACACTTTCTCTCCTATTTTAAATTAGGGATTCAGTTATGTTCTCATATTTTTCATTACATTTCTTAACTGTTACACTCATTTAATCATTATGAAACTAATACTACATATCCAATTATTCATTATACAAATATTTGGTATAACTTTTTAGAGGAATTCTGTTTATACTATTGTATTAATATAGGGGAAAAAGTAATATACATGGTATAACTCAATTATATTATATTTTTATTGAAGTATAATATTATATATTCCTGATATAATTCATTTTTAGAGGTATACTAATGTATTAATATACATAGTATAACTCGATATATGTTATGATGGTATTAAGGTAATATATTAGCATATATCTAGTATAATTTTTTTGTTTAGAAATGCAATGTATATAAATATTAACGTAAGAATATACCTTTTGTGATCTTTTTAAGAATATACCATTTTAATGAGAAATACTATGTATACCAATGGAAATAGTATACCTTTGATCTTTTTAATAAGAAAGTACTCCCTGAAATAATCATGATATAAAATTACTTGGTTTATATTTTATATATACCTTAAATATATATTACATTTTTCTTGAAACATATGTATTTTATTTTTTCAAAATATAAAGATGTATACTTTCGCTAGAGTTTATGTTGTATAAAAAGGTACATGTATTTTTTTTCTAGTAAATAGATCCATTTATGAAAAGTAGAAAATCTGTTATGAAATGAATTAATTCCAGCAAAAAAATAGGAAAATATATTACCATTTAAATATGTTAGAGATTGGTTTCAAGAGAAATATAAGAAAAAATGTTACAAAGTGATAGGAACGTTTTCATTAAGGAAATAAATGTATTGGGCGCGTGATTATAGGTATATGGTTTAATGGTGTCTGTTAGGAATATAATTATTTAGTTGCCATGTGTGTAAAATAGCTATTGCTGCTATGTTTCTAGAAAAGTTTCTTAAATTTTGCCTATTTATGTTTGTTGCCCTATTTTTTAGGGAAAACTACCTTCTATAGCCCCTCAAATTTTTAATAACCCATGTTTTTTCTCACTTACACGAAATGGCCCTTCGCCCCAAACATATTACATCTAATAGCCCGAAATATCTATTTTATATATTTTTTGTATAGTGGCAATCTATTTTGTATATTTTTGTACGAAAAAGGGTCAAAATTGTCCTCGAACTATCGAAAATAGCTCAAATATACCCTCAATTTGCTTTTGGTACCAAATTTGTCCTCGCCGTCTAAAAATTGGACCATTATTGCCTTAAAAACTAACGGCTGTCACATCAGCTTTTGGACATATTTAAATTTTATGGAAAAGGGTCAAAATTGCCCTCGAACTATCGAAAATAGCTCAATTATATCCTTCGCTTGTATTTGGTACCAAATATATCCTTGACATCTAAAATTTGGACCATTACTGCCCTAAAAACTAACGGCTATCACATGAACTCATGTGAACAACAAAAGTCTATCTCCAACAGACGGTCTTCCATCTAGACAAAAGCCCCCATGGATAAAATTCCTTTCTCCATTTTCATTCGTTGACTCATCTAAGTGTTGCTCCTTCCAATTAATTAAAGCTACACCAATCTTATTATGAGAAATTTAGTTGGGCTATTCTTAAGATTCACAGATCTGTAAAAATTTCAATATACTATACAAGAAATAAAATACCAACTTTTATCACTTAAAATAAGAAATCTTATCACAAAAATGGTAGAGAACAACAAAAGCTGCATATTGCAGTATTCTCATGGCTAGCTATCCAAGCTCATAGCTCAAAAAGGTCACAAATTAGTTGCAGAGATATATCCTTTTAAAAATAACTCTCATAAAAAACTCGAAAACCATTAGAATGAGACCATCCTCTAAAATAATATACCCTTCCACTTCCAGCCTTCACCAACATAAAAGAAAAGAAGACCGATCGCAAATAAGACCTAGACCCAAAATCTCATAAAAAGATACACTTTTTAGATACCACCTAATCCTTCCCATCCTCACTGGCCTAGCTAGCAAGCTACTTAAAATGCTTCACTGTGCCTTCACGGGAAATGCAGTAACCCCTCGCAGAAAATGGGTTCTTGCGGGTGGAGAAGGTTTTTTTTTTGTCATATTGTACTGGCATGTCAACATGATTATATTATTTAAATAGGTCCAAAAGATGATGTGACAGTCGTTAGATTTTAGGGCAAAGACATATTTGGTACCAAACACAAACAGAGGATATAATTGAGCTATTTTCGATAGTTCGGGGGCAATTTTGACCCTTTTTCCGTAATATTTAGATATGTCCAAAAGCTGATGTGGCAGCCGTTAGTTTTTAGGGCAATAATGGTCTAATTTTTAGACGACGAGGACAAATTTGGTACCAAAAATAAACTGAGGGTATATTTAAGCTATTTTTGATAGTTCGAGGACAATTTTGACCCTTTTCCGTTTTTTGTATAGTGGCAGTCTATTTTGTATAATGACAGTCTATTTAGCATATATTTAGTATAGTGACAGTCTATTTTGTATATTTTTGTATAATGACAGTCTAGTGTATATAACTGTATAGTGGCAGTTTATTTAGTATATTTTTGTATAGTGACAGTCTATTTTGTATAATGACAGTCTATTGTATATAAATTATATAGTGACATTCTAGTTTAATATATTTTTTGTATAGTGACAGTCTATTTAGTATATATATTGCATAAAATTTGTATATAGAGTGTATCGTGCATCTTGCAATGTATCCATAATATATCATTAATATATCCCGAGCGCTTTTGTGTATCCAAAGTATATAGACTGTTCTACAATGTATAAATTTTGTATATATAAAGTGTATCGTGCATTTTACTACGTAGTGATGTAGTAAAATGCTTATATGAAAGATTTTCTAGAATTTAATATTGTGTTAAAAATTACATTGATGATAGTTATTGACAATTTATATCTATTATATAGTATTTATTTGAATGTACATTTACGTTCTATGTACGTAAAGGGGTATTTGACTTAAAGAGTGAAGAACATATTATTGTGTATTAAATAAATAAATAAATAAACCCATGAAACGAAAACCATAACAATAAGGATATATTACTTGAAGATGACCGACTGCTTTCATCTAGCCAATTAAGAGTCAACAATAACAAGGATATATTTTTTTGGATTTTATTGTACACTACTCTATTTTTTATAATTGAAAGCTTTTTTGATTTGGTTAGAAAATTAAAATAGTTTTGTATTTCACGTTGTTTGGGGATTAAAGATATATTTTTCATTTCTAAAATGAGATTCTTAGAAGAAAAAAAAGCATTTGAAATATCTGGCGTCGAATTTGGGATGAGGCTGATGGGGCTTTTTGTTTCATCAGCTGGCTATTTTAATTAATTAATTTCTGGCTAGTGACTGTTAAAAGTCTGGCCCGAGCGGCCAATAATGATAAAAGCTCTATTTTTTTATCGTCTTTTCATTTAGGAAACTCGAAGCATCTACCTTTTCAAGATGCTCAATGTTTAAGCCCATACCCTTTTAAATAGGCAGATTGGGCTCGAGTCCATATCCATCTTATGGACAATGCTTCGATAGAATTAGTTGTGTGGATAGTAGATTATAGGAAATTTTACCTCCTAT